TAAATTGATGTTCACCTTGTACATCAGAAGGAGATAACACAGCATTAATGTACATCTAAGGGAGGTTAAGTATGCATGGGTGTGTCTCTCTCACGTCACACATATACGAAGATTCTTACACGAGCGTCTCTCCATTTCATGCTATCTTAAACAAATCTGGAGAATTGATATTCCCTTGCATTTTCCCTGGCAAATCGCTATGTAATTTCATGAGATATCTAAGTAATATACATTCAAATCCAGAGGAATAAGCCTTTTCTATCCTGTGGGAGCCAGGTGTCTGAATGCTGAGGTTAATAGCAGCCTTGAGCCCTTTCCTCCAGTTTTGCGGACCTTGAGTGGGTTTCCACTTCTGAGAAAGCAGGGACTAACCCAGAATCTAAATGGGCACTAGGAGGACATCTTTCTCGAGGCAAGGGAAAGGATTGCCTGCGTCCTTTAAAGAGGCAGTCCTGAAAGTCATAGACATCAGGCCCGCAGCTGCACGTGTTGCCTGTGGGTGCCAGCACCCCTCTCCTTTCCAGGATGAGAAGAGGTGTTCCCATTTTGAAAAAGCTGTCTCTGTTTATAAAATGTCATTTCCTCTTAAGTCAATGACTTGAATTTGATTTCTGGTGCTACCTGCTGGCTCGAATGAACTGCCATGCTCTGGTGCTGCCATCTTCTTAAAAACAACTTTTGTTCCTGACTTCTCACTAGGGCCGTGGGAGGAAAAAAAGCTCCCATTACAGAGGCTTAGGACGGGCATCCTTATCACTTTTGCGGAATAGAGGCTTCTGGAAGCAGATACTGCCTGTGGTGTTAGCTTGCAGCCTGAAGTTTGTGACTGAATGTCCCAGGCTCCACCTGCTTCCTCCCAGTTGTTCTACCACAGAGAGGAGGGGGCGTAGTCAGCATAGCTATCTGAGACTCAAAGTGCATCCATAACAGATCTGAACAAACGAGCATGAGGTCTTGGTCTGAATCACAGACAAAACCTGTAGAAGAGAGGCATCAAGCATCACTCACATCCTGGGATTGCTACATGGTGCCACTTTTCAAGTGACCCAACATGAGAGGGTTACAGAATGGTTCTCCATGACCTCTTGTTAAATGGTCGCCAAGACATGATCAACTATCTGTTGTTTAGAAACAGAGGGCAAGCATCCTGTAGGTAAACAAGCTAATCAAACAAGCAAATCGATCCTATGACCTACTGAAGTCGTCATTTCTCCAAATGGAATAACAATTGTAAATGAAGTAAATGCCTCAGAGCTTGAAGTATGCGGTATGAAGGAGTGCATCCTAAGACTTTGTACCCTTTACAAGGGTAGTAGTCAGAATTTCTTTTTTTTTTTTTTTGAGTTGGAGTCTCACTCTGTCGCCCAGACTGGAGTGCAGTGGCTGCTCCCAACCACTGCAGCCTCGACCTGCTGGGCTCCAGCGATCCTTCCGCCTCAGCCTTCCAAGTAGCTGGAACCACAGGCATGCGCTACCACGCCCAGCTAGTTTTTTATTTATTGTAGAGATAGGTCTTGCCAAGTTGCCCAGGCAGGTCTCGAACCCGCGGGCTCAGGCAATCCACTCACCTCAGCCTCCCAAAGGCACGGGATTACAGGCTGAGCCACCGAGCCCGGCTAGTAGTCAGAATTTCTGAGTCTCTGGAAAGACTGTGGTCCTTCAGATGAGCAGGAACATAATACCAAAGCTGAATTCACCCTGACAGATCCTTATGGTGTCCTCTCTGAAGGTCATCTCCTTTGGTGTGTACCACCTGGAACACTGGTTTTTGGCATGAGAATTCATCTCAATGCCCCTATTTCTTCTTATCTATTAAATGTGAAAACTCCTAGAAGTGGTGAGGAATAGCAAACAGCTGAAATGAATGAGTGATAGAAGGAAATTTGCAAATGTACTGTCAAAATGCTCAAAACTAGGACAGATCTCCCTAGGCCATGAGGCTTCCCAAAGTTAGAGGGTAATTTGTGCAGCCTGTCAGTGCCAAACTGACTAGGGGGCTGGAACCCTTGGTGGTCTCCCCATCTTCCCTGCATGCTTTTCTGAATGGTGTCACCATTCAGGATTGATTTATGACACCTAGATTGGCCGGCAAGCCTGTGTCGGGTAACGGTCAGGAATCTGCTCTGCGCCTGCGTCTGTCACCCACTCTGGCAATATCATTTGCAAAGTCAGGACCATTCCGGGCATAGCTAGGGTGCCCCTGGGAGTGCCTAGGATGGGTAATGAATCCAGACTCACTCTCCAGCTTGCTCACATGACAAATCGTCTGGTAAAATGATGAAGAGGAATGAAGACAGGCTATAGCCCCTCTGTGCACATTCCAGTTAATTTCCCAGAAGCAAGCACAAGTAATGCAGGTTCCAAGCACAGAGTTGTCTAGGGTGACAAATGAAGAGGGAGTGGAGTTTTTGTGTTTTGGAGGGGTGGGGGAGGGTAAAGAATGTGGAGCTTGATTTTCTGTGTTTTCCTGTAAGTGAGCCAGAATAAGAAGAAACTGCTTGGGCAGGAAACTTCCCCTCTCTAAGGAACCCAATTGCAAAGACAAGGTTTGACACCCTGAAAGGTGTTTAGTATGCTAACAAAATGCTGCATAATGTGACTTTAGCACACTGACGGAATTGATAAGAGAAATCTGGGCCCTCCTGCTGTGCTGAGTCCCCCCCTGCTGTGCAGAGCAAAGGCAGCTAATATATTACAAAGCTTGATGAGAAGGGGGAAGTGGGTTGCAACGTGGTCTCTGAACTGTCAAGGTCTCTGAAACTGTCAAAAGTGAGGCAGTTTGATCCTGCCACCAACTGGCTGGGTGATTTGAGTAAATCTTTGCCTTATCTTTCTGCACCTCAAAAGAGGATCGTTTCTAGTTGATGAATCACTTTGCAAATGTGATTTGCAGACACCAAATATTGAATATAGGCTGATGGCTGAGACTCTGAGAAAATGTTACAGCAAGGGTCTTTCAAAGCTTACACACAATGATGGGCATTAAGGACGCTGAGAGATGACAGAACAAATGCACCAGCCAATTCATATTTTGGGGAGGACAGTGCTGACTAGATGGCCAGGACACCATGCTTCCTGGCACTGGGCAGCCCAATAAGGTCTCGATGAGGTACATTGGACAAGGCAAGGGCAGCTGATGAGAGTCTGCATGCAAGCGACCAATGGCTCAATAGGCCAGGGTCCTGAGGGAGGGGACAACTCCATGACTGTGTCTTGTGCAGACACAGCATTTATGTTAGTCTGTACTTAAGACACAGCAACATTTTAATCATCACCCTCTCGGGGCCAGAATGGAAGGAAGGGACCTCCTGGAATTGAGGCAGGCGCTGTGTGCAGGAACTCGTGAGTGGAGGCTTCACACTCTGTCAGCCCTCCCAAGAGGGCAGGTGGCTGGCTGTGGGCCAGCTGATGTTAAAAATATGCCTAATTTAACAAGAGCCTCGAACTATTAGTAAAAACTATTCTTAACGTTTCCCTACTTGTTTATAATAAAGTAACTTCCTTTTGGCTAGATGTGAGTTTTGTCTAGCTTAAAAATAATTTTATATGCCTACGGTCATCCATTCCTCCCACTGTCAATTTAACAATTGTTTATTGAAATCATAAAAGCATGTCACTCTACAGACACTGGGTGAAAGAGATAAGGTGGTATTTGGGATTGTATCTAAATCATAATCCATTAAGTTGTGACCTTAATAGACATGATTCTCATTTTATAGAAACCAACTAGGGCCAATAATTCTTTACTTTCCTTCTATGGTCTCCAACCCTGACAGTTCTCCTCCTTCCCCTGCTTCCCACAAGTTCAATTTATTCAGCTACAGAGATGACATCAGATGAAACTGTATAAACCTTCAACTTGAAATGTTTTCTCATAGAAAAGGGTCACAGCAAGAGTTGGAAAAGCCAGCTAGGATTCCAAATTTCAAAAAATGAGTGAGACAGGATTAAATTGCCATTCAAGCTCCAAAAGTCAGTCTAATAACAGCCCTCCTGGTAGAAAATAAAATCATGGTATTTGGGGGGTGGGATGAAAGGGAGGTCGGCATCGACTTAGGGTAGAGGAAAAGGAGATCTCCAAGACTCATCCTGAATCTCAGTTGTTGTAGGATAAACGGCCCAACTTACCTTTCTCCTCTCACATAATAGTAACTAATATTTTTAGACTTTTTACAGATTAAAAAAATAATTCTCATCTTCATAGCAACTCTGTAAGGTAGGGGTTTTTTCCATTTAAATACAGAAGAACAGTCTCAACCAGATTAATGATAATCATTATTATTATGGTTACTGGCCATAGTGTTCTAAAGTCTACAAAAAAAATCCTCATTCTATCATTCTGATCCTTTCACCTCAGCCTTCCAAGTAGCTGGAACTACACGCCCAGCTAATTTTTTGGGCTCAGGCAATCCTTCACCTCAGCCTTCCAAGTAGCTACCCCGCCCAGCTAATTTTTTGAATTATTGTAGAGATGGGTCTCGCCAAGTTTCCCAGGCTGTTCTTGAACCCGTGGGCTCAGGCAGTCCCCTCGCCTTGGCCTCCCAAAGTGCTGGGATTATAGGCTTGAGCCACTGCACCCGGCCAGCCTGTATTTTTATTGGTTGAATCTGGCAGCCTTACTCCTAAGGGAAGGGTAAGCCAATCTTCTGCCTTCACCCCATATCACTATGAAACAGGTACATCTCTATTATGGTGACAGTGATCCACTAACAGCAATGGTAATTGGAGACCTCAACTGAGGTAATTTCTTATTCCCTCTGACTTGAACAGTCCACAGTTAGAACTGGAATGGATTTAAATTTTCTAAAACTTCTGAATTTGGAGGATCATGTATTATACAATTGTTAGCTAAGGCTGTTCTCTAGCATTGAATTACTAATGGGACCTAGACTGTCTCTCTGTGGCACACTTCTCCCCAGATGACACTGGGCCAAGCATCCCACACCCAGCTCCAGAACCACGCTTACTCCATTTCATACTTTGAGTAGAAGATCACTTACTTGTATGGAATGTGTTTGCTGCCATTGACGAGAGCCAGGATGACATTGCCCAGAGCAGACAGTGAGAGGCACACCCCTGAGCCTCCTTCCCGATTCTTGCTAAGAGCTTTCACACAGCTGCCGAGATCAATGAGATGCAGGCGGCTGCGACCTCCAGACACTACCACAAGAGAAGAGAAGACAGAAGTGGTTAAGTTCTGACAAACACTCATCTGTTCTTCATGTAGCTCCTTGGGAAATCTGAGGGAAAAGGGGAAATAAAAAGGCTGAAGTTCATTACCTGGTAGAAATCCCAACAAAATCATACTGGGGTTACAAATGATATTGGTTCTCTTAATTTTGTCCAACACACATCACTGACTTCCTAAACACTACTGACATTCATACTATAAATAAATGAATAATTCCTGTAGGCTGAATTAAGTGAGATTTCAGAGGAAATAAATGTCTAATTAAAGGAGGATAAGGTCCTTTGAACAGCAGAATTCTGAAACTTGTCAAGTTAAAACCTGAATGGCCCATGAGTTATTATCTGCTTTGGTTAATCATTATAGAAACCCCAACCTAAAGCTCATCCAGGAATCAGGTTGAAAACTCAAGGTAAAATCAGGAAGACGTAATCAGGTGCAGAGTTTGGAGAGACCCAAATATTTGCTGAGTATCTGCCAGGTGCCAGGGGCTTCACAAACATCAGTCTCATTCCATTCCCATGGTAAAATTATAAGCTAAATACTGTTATCCTTTTTTATAGATGAGAAAATAACAGTTCAGAAAAGTTAAGTAACTTGCTCATGAGTACTTCTGCTTCTGAAGTACAGGAGAGCAAGGTGGCAACAGTTTATAAGACAAGAGTACTATAGAGGAGAGAGTTCTAGAGATGTGCAGAAGGTCCCTTAAGTATTCAACTGGGCACGGATCAGTACATGTATATAAGAAAACTACCCAAGGCTCAAGAATTAAGTACTAAAAAGATGAAAGGTAATAGTGCACAGCACTCACACAAGACCAGGAATGGTGCCTGTTCCCACAGCCAGACTGAAAAACCTCAAGACTCCCAGGGAACTGGGTTGAGTACTCAGAAGGGTCTTATTTCAGTAGTGGGAAATGCTTAGCCATGGACTGAGCACTGACATGGTTCCACCTGACAAATATTAAAAGCAAGACCAAAAAAGATTAAACTGTTTCCAAGTAACTCAACAACATTCTAAAACAAAGCTAAAATAACATTTACAAAGTAAAAAGATATCCAACCCTCAACAAGGTAAATCCAAATATCTGGCATCTAATGAAAAATAACCAGGCATACAAAGACACAGGAAAATCACCAACCCATTAATGAGATCATTCACTATGATCAAGTGGGATTTATCCTAGTGATACAAGGATGGTTCCACATAGGTAAATCAATAAATATGATGCATCACATTAACAGAATCAAGGACAAAACCTTATGCTTACTTCAATAGATGCTGAAAAAGTAAATTCAATACCCTTTCATGATTAAAAAAAAACCCCTCAACAAATTGAGTATAAATGGAATATAATATTTCAGCATGATAAGGGTCACACATTACAAGCCCACAGTTAATTTCACACTGAATGGGTAATCACAAAACCTTTCCACTAAGATCTGGAACAAGACAAGGATGCCCACTTTCACTACTATTGTTAGCATAGTATTGAAATTCCTAGCCAGCACAATCAGGCAAGAGAAAGGAAAAAAAGAGCATCCAAATTGGAAAGGAAGAAGTCAAATTATCCTTGTTTGCAGACATGATCTTATATTTAGAAAAACCTAAAGATTTCATTAAAAAAAACAACTCTTAGAACTGATAAATAAATTTAGTAAAGTTGCAGGTTACAAAATCAACATAAAAATCACTATCATTTCTTTTTTTTTTTTTTGAGTTGGAGTCTCACTCTGTCGCCCAGACTGGAGTGCAGTGGCCGCTCCCGGCCACGGCAGCCTCGACCTGCTGGGCTCTGGCGATCCTTCCCACCTCAGCCTTCAAAGTAGCTGGAACTACAGGCATGCGCTACCACGCCCGGCTAATTTTTGATTTATTGTAGAGATGAGGTCTCGCCAAGTTGCCCAGGTGGGTCTCAAACCCGCGGGCTCAGGCAATCCACTCACCTCAGCCTCCCAAAGGCGCGGGATTACAGGCTGAGCCACCGAGCCCAGTTCACTACCATTTCTATATGCTAACAGTGATCAATCTGAAAAAGAAATCAAGAAAGCAATCGCATTTATAATAACTACCAAGCAAATACATAGGAATAAATTTAACCAAAGAAATGAAAGTTCTCTGGAAGGAAAACACTAATGGAAGAAATTGAAGGGGACACTAACAAATGAAAAGATATCACATGCTCATGAACTGGAAAAATTAATATTGTTAAAATGTCTTTACTACCCAAAGCAACGTACAGATTCTATGCAATCCCTATGAAAATACCATGACATTTTTCACAGAAACTGAACAAACAATCCTAAAATTTTTATGGAACCACAAAAGACCCCAAATAGATAAAGCAATACTGAGCAAAGAGAACCAACAAGTTGGAGGTAACACAATAACTAATTTTAAATTATACTACAAAGCAAACAGTTTGGTATTGGCTTAGAACAGATACGTTGGCCAATGTAACATGATAGAGAACCCAGAAATCAACATGTTTACAGCCAACTGATTTTTGACAAAGGTACCAGAACTTACATTGCAGAAATCCTCCTCAATAAATGTTGCTTGAAAAATTCACTCTCTCACCATATACAAAAATCAACTCAAAGTGGATTAAAGACTTAAACACAGGACCTGATCGAAACAATAAAACTACTAGAAGAAAATATAAGGGAAATGCTTCAGGACATTGGTTTAGGCAAAGACTTTATGGCTAAGACTTCCAAAGCACAGGCAACAAATGAGACCATATTAAACTTAAAAGCTTCTACACAGCAAGGAAACGATCAACAGAGTAAAGAGACAACCGATAGAATGGGAGAAAATATTTGCAAACTACTCATCTGACAAGGGACTATATTCAAAATACACAGGGAATTCAAACAACTCAACAGGAAAAAACCAAAATAATTCCATTTAAAAAGTGGGCAAAGGACCTAAATAGACACTTTTTTCAAAATAAGACATACAAATGGCCAAAAGGTGTGTGAAAAAAATGCTCAGCATCACTAATCATGGAGATCTGCAAATCAAAACCACAAATAAGATATCATCTTATCCCAGTTAGAATGGTTATTATCAAAAACAAACAAACAAACAAAATCTGGTGAGGATGCAGAGTTGGTTAGAATATAAATTAGTGCAGCCAGTATGGAAAACAGTATAGAGGTTTCTCAAAAAACTAAACATAGAACTATCACATAATTCAGCAACCCCATCAGTGGGCATTTATTTAAAGGAAAAAAAAAAATCAGTATATTCAAAGGGATGCCTGTATCCCATATTTATTACAGCGCTATTCACAATAGCCAAGATATGAAATTAACCTAAGTGTCCAAAAAAGAAAGAATGAATAAGAAAATGTGGTATATATTCACAATGGAATACTATTTAGCCATAAAAAAATAATGAAATCCAAAAACCCGTCATTTACAGCAACATGGATAGAACTGGGTGTCATTATGTTAAGTGAAAATAAGCTAGGCCTTAAAGACAAGCATTGCATGTTTTCACTCATAGGTGGGAACTAAAAGACTTAATCTCATGGAGGTAGAGAGTAGAATGAGATACCAAAGGCTGGAGAAAGTGTGTGTTTATGTGTGTTTGTGTGGGATGGGGTAAAGAAGTGTTGGTTAATAGGTACAAATATACAGTTAGATAGAAGAAATCAGTTCTAGTGTGCAATGGTACATAAGGTAATGATAGCTAACAACGATTTATTGTATATTTCAAAATAGCTAGAAGAAAAGATTTGAAATGATTCCAACACATAAAAAACGATAACTGTTTGAGGTGATGACTATCCTAAATACCCTGATTGATCATAACACATTGTACACATGTATCAAAATATCACACACACTCCATAAATATGTATAATAATTATGTATCAATAAAAATATATATAAATAAATGAATTTCCCTACTTAATAAAATTACTGAAGGAAATTAATAAAAACCTAAAAAACTAGAGAGAGATACTGTGCTCATGAGTCAGAAAACTCACTATTGTGGATGCCAACTGTCTTCAAATTTTTTTTTTTTTTTTGAGTTGGAGTCTCACTCTGTCGCCCAGACTGGAGTGCAGTGGCCACTTCCGGCCACCACAGCCTTAACCTGCTAGGCTCCGGCGATCCTTCCGCCTCAGCCTTCCAAGTAGCCGGAATTACAGGCATGTGCTACCACACCCGGCTGATTTTTTGATTTATTGTAGAGATGAGGTCTCGCTGCCCAGGCGGGTCTCGAACCCGCAGGCTCAGGCAATCCACTTACCTCAGTCTCTCAAAGGTGCGGGATTACAGGCTGAGCCACCGAGTCCAGCTTCAAATTTATTTATAGATTCAGTTCAATCCCAATCCGAATCCCAGTAGGTTTTTCGGGTAGAAATTTTTTCTACAAAATTCATTAGAAAGTGACTCTAAAATTTCTATGGACGTATAAGGGACCTAGAATAGCTAAAACAACTTTAAAAAATATGAACAAAGTGGGAAGGCCAGCAGTACCTACTTCAAGACCTATTATAAATCCACCATAATCAAGACAGTGTGCTATTGGTATCAAGATAGACAAACAGATCAATGGAACAAAATAGAGAGTCCAGAAATAGATATACAATAGACATGAGTGATGCTTGGCAAAGGTAGTTTAGTAGAGAAATGATCGTTTTTAAGACAGTAGTACTGGAAAAATTGGATGTGTCAAGTGGCCTCAGTCAGTTCCTGAGACAGCAGGCGTAGAAGGCTGCCTTTTTGTCCTGGACTCACTCTCCCAGAGTCATGTGGCCCTCGGTGCATCACCCAGCTTCTTAACTGTGTCTTTTTCCTCCCCCTCACTCCCAGGCAGCAACAGACTCCTCTCCTCCAGGCCTCTGGGCTCCCACCTCTCTAGGTGGCCCACCTTCTGTTGCTCCCAGAACAGTAGTTCTTCCCTCTGTCTTCCCCTACTTGGCACAAAAGGAAATCAGCAAAGGTGGAGATGG